GGCAATAAACCCCGTTTCAGAGTGGTGGAGGTGCGGGGTATTTTAACCTGAAACTCCGCAACAGGAAACTACCTGCCAACCCAGAAATGGCTGGAGAAACCACCCAGCAAGGTACGACCCAGCCTCCGATAATCATCGTGCCCACTGCGCTACGCGCTTGCGCGATCCACCTTTTTTCGACGGTACCGATGAGCAAGACGTAGAAGATTGGCTGTCGACATTTGAAAAGGTAGGCGCAAGCAACAAGTGGGGCGACACATCGAAGCTGCAATATGTACCCTTCTACCTGAAAGAGGTAGCGAGTCTCTGGTTTAACAACCACTACTCGGAATTTGCCACTTGGGGTGCATTTAAGCTACGCATTACCGATGTATTCGGTCGCCCCGAGGTACGCAAGCTTTGTGCCGAACAGAGTCTACGGGGACGCGCACAGCTTCAGGGGGAAGGCTTCACAAGCTACATCGAGGATGTGCTCGACTTGTGCAAGCGCCTTGACCCTTCAATGATCGAAGCAGACAAGATCAAACACATCTTGAAGGGGATAGACTACAATGCCTTCCAGGCGCTGCTGGCCAAGGGCCCCCGTACCGTGTCCGAACTCACCACTCTTTGCCAGAGCTTCGAGGAATTGCGCAAACAACGGGTCATGACAAGGCGGCCAGCGGCTACCGACGAAACTCTCGCGGCATGGACCCTAGGTGGAGACCACAACACAATCATGTCGGAAATCAAAGTATATGTACGCGAGGAGGTGGCCCGGCAACTTTCGTGTCCGTCGTATCAACCGGCAATGGAACCCTCTTCTGAGCGTCTCGCGCCCGCCATCAGACAGGTAATACAGGCGCAGGTCTCCGAGGCACTGCCGCCCGTCTCTCAGACTACACCTGTCACCGCGCCATTGACTTACGCTGCTGCTTGCTACTCCACCACGACCTCCACTTCGGCCGACTCCCCAGCTACGAGTACCAACGACGCCATTTCCAGCAACACAACAGCACTTTAACGGAAACCCTTGGCGCACAGTTGACAATCGTCCAATCTGTTTTGCATGCGGATATCCAGGTCACTTGGCGCGCTTCTGTCGCCGGCGCTTCGCAACGGGCCCGGCTGCTGCTCAGAGGTACTCTGACGACTCTTTCCCGGCCCCGTACAACGCGCAACGAGAAATGCCCCGTCCATGCGACCGACAATCAGTGCAACGCGACCCGTCCCCATCCGAACTAGACTACCACCCTGCTGTCGACTACCGACCATTCGGTCCTCGTCGCTCATCCTCACCACGCTGCTACCGTTCTCCGTCCCCGCTGCATCGCCGACCGAACCCCGTAGAGAGGGAAAACTGACTGCTGCAGCTCCGGAGGCACGAGCTGCGAACTCGTCGCATTGTAGTACTCGCCCGTCCCCCACAAACGTTCTTGAACTGTTTGTTGAAGGTCTATGAACTTTTGCGCTTGTTGACACGGGTGTCGCCGTATCTGTGACGAGTCAAAAACTATGCCGTTCGATACGAAAAGTAACGACGCCGCCTTCCGACGTATTGCTGAATACCGCGCGCACGCAACCTATTCGACAAGTCTGAGCGTGTACGGCGAGAGTAATCATTCAGGGCGTCCTGTACCACATCGAATTTCTCGTGTTCGCCACTTGTTTCCACGACGCGATACTTGGATGGGATTTTTTGTCATGCCACCATGCCGTAATTGACTGCGCTCGCGCGCAGGTGGAATTTTCTGTGTTCTCTGACGCGCCATCTACCGACAATGAGCTCACTCACCTTGGCAAGCTTATTGTTGCTTCCGACATAGATGTTCCCCCTCTTAGGGCCATCGTTGTCCCCGTCAATCGCACTGAATTGTCCGACTCGACCGTTGTGCTCTCCCCATCTGACGTTTTCAGTCGCCGCCACAGTACGTCTCTGCCATACGCCGTTCTGCCACCTCACCAAGATACTTCCGGAATTGTCGTTTGCAATCCTAGCTCATGCCCTCTCACCTTAAGAGCTCACGAAACACTGGGCTATGTTCTTCCTGTTGATGACAACGCTATTATGCCTATCGAGTCCCACGACACTGGCCAGCAACTTCAACTGAACGCTAGTTACTCCTCCTTTTACGCGGGATGACTACTCCTCGGATATCTTCGAATCGTTCCATCGACAGCAAGCTTCCTCTGGATCAACGGAGCCAGCTAATAACCCTTCTGCATGAATTCCGTGATTCATTTGACCGTCTTCAAAAGGCACTGAGTCAAACTAACACCGTCGCTCACACAATCTACACTGGAACGCACCCTCCTCTACGGCAACGCCCCTACCGCGTATCACCCAAGGAACGAAGTGTAATTGCAGAGCACGTGGACGATATGCTTCAGCGCGGTGTCATCAAGCCATCTTCTAGCCCCTCGTCTTCACCTGTTGTGCTGATGAAGAAAAAAGAAAAAAAACCTCCAGCTTAACCTAAAGAAGTGCCGCTTCGGGGCTCACCAACTTACTATACTTGGTCACGTTGTGTCAAAGGATGGAATTCGCCCCGACCCGGACAAACTTCGAGCCGTAGCCAACTTTCCGAAGCCAACTTCACTCAAAGAATTTAGGAGCTTCATCGGCTTGTGCTCGTATTTTCGCCGTTTCGTCCACAACTTTGCATCAATAATAGCCCCACTTACGCAACTACTGAATGGTCCAGCTAATCTTTCTAACTGGACCCCGGCATGTGACGAAGCCTTCCTTGCACTGTGCCGCCTGCTTACGTCGCCACCCATTCTACGCCATTACGATCCAAGTGCCCCCACTGAAGTGTACACAGACGCCAGCCGTACTCGCACAACGAAAGCCCGGTATTCCAGAGTACGTCGTCGCATATGCAAGCCGCGCACTCACGAAAGCGGAAATGAACTACTCCGTAACTGAAAAAGAATGCCTCGCAATCGTTTGGGCATTGAGCAAGTTTCGTCCTTACTTGTACTGACAGAGTTTCGACGTTGTGACAAACCACCACGCACTTTGTTGGTTGGCGTCGCTAAAAGATCCTTCAGGTCGCCTTGGACGTTGGGCTCTTCACCTACAAGAATTCGACATTCGTGTCGTCTACCACGCAGGACGAAAACACTCTGATGCGAAACGGCCTTTCGGAATCACCAGTGAGATCCAGCGCAGACCTGAATTCGGACGCTAACTTCCCCATCGCTCCCATTTCCGTCTCAAGCATGTCGTCTGAACAGCGGAAAGACCCATGGATAAAATCTCTCCTTAACATTCTTAGCGACTCCTCAACGTCTGCGTACCCACTGGCTCTTCGCCGCCAAGCCACTCATTTCGAGATACCGGACGCGAAACTATACCGCAGAAACTACCACGCGGATGATGGTCGTAAATGGCTCTTGGTTATACCACGCCACATGCGATCTGATATCTGTGCGATTTTCACGCTGACCCACAACATGCTCACGCTGGTGTGTTAAAAACATATCACCGGATCCGCCAGCGTTACTACTGGTGTGGTATGTACACCTTTGTACAAAAATACATTCGGTCCTGTTCATTATGCCAACGACAAAAGACAGCGGCCGATTCCCCCGGATTACTACAGCCTCTACCGTGTCCGGCGCGCCCTTTCGACCGCGTTGGAATCGATTTATATGGTCCCCTTCCGTACACTGCCACTGGAAATCGATGGATCATTGTCGCAGTCGACCATCTGACGAGGTATGCTGAAACAGCTCCACTACCTACGACTGGTGCACGTGACGTAGCCAATTTCGTCTTGCGACGCTTCGTACTGCGTCATGGGGCACCACGTGAACTGCTGAGTGATCGAGAGCGTGTCTTTTTATCCGAAGTTGTACAACAACTCCTTCAGCATGCCACACGGTGCACCGCACCTCTACAGCCTACCACCCGCAGACCAACGGTCTAACTGAGCGCTTCAACCGAACGCTAGGAAACATGCTCGCCATGTATGTCAATTTCGACCAATTGAACCGGGATGTTATTCTTCCATTTGTGACTTATGCGTACAACACCGCGACGCAGTCAACCACAGGCTTCTCGCCTTTCTTTCTTTTATATGGGCGTGAGCCATGCTCCACCCTTGACACCATTTTGCCGTATCGTCCCGACGTCTCAAAGTTCAACCCTCTCTCTGAAATTGTGAACCACGCTGAAGAGTGTCATCAGTTGGCCCGATCATTCACCTCGGACAAGCAAGCACTCGAAAAAGACCGCCACGACCGCGACCAGCAAGTCGAGACTTTTTGCGGTGGGCTCACTCGTCTGGCTCCGACTGCCCCTCCACTCCCCAGGTCTGTCCTCCAAGTTTGGCCCCAAGTTTCACGATCCTTATCGCGAGGTCAAACGTAGATCTCATGTAACATACGTGATCGAGCCGGTCACGCCATCTACAGACAGGCGACGTCTTGGTGGTGAGACTGTCCACGTCAGTCGTCTCAAGCCCTATCACGACCCACTCCTACTTTCGTCACCTTGACTTGCCAGGATGGCTCGACTTCCTCGCCGGGGTATTGTAGAGAGGAAGAAGATTATGTGCCGCAGTGGGTCACGCCTTTAGCGAGAAGAGCCAAGCGCGAGTGTTTGCCCTCAGTGCTGAGATTCCTGAGTCCGTTGCTGCCGCCCGCTTTCCGCATCAATAGACTTGCTGTGCAAGTACTACTTGTGCCAATAAACCCCGTTTCATGGTAAACAGCATTATAAGAAAATAAATAGCACCACTGGCTAAACGACCCTTTTGGCAATGTTTGTTCTTTTTTGATCAAAAGATGTCGCGAAAAATCACTAAGAGTTATACATGAGAACATAAAGACAGCATATCTTTTGTTCCAATGTACCTATTAAAAATCTATTCAAAGATTTGGATTCTGCAGGAGTAACTGAATAAGCATACAAAATTTCATTCAGTTTGCCCAACTATTAAAACATATTTTAAGACACACGTCTCACTTCAGGATGACACAACTTCTACCACGTCATCGAAGCAAACACTGACCGACAATCAGTAGCACAGGCTTGTCAGGTGGCGGTAGGTCCCAAGTGAGCTTGGAACTTCCACTGTGTGATGCTTGCCGCGTGGAGTCGTAAAAACTTGATGTGCCCACAATCCACCAGCCCTTCATTTTCATCTCCTGCATCAAATTCATAAATGAACACTGTCAGACAAGACTGCCGCTTTAATACAGCCTCAGTGAGAGAGACTGAGCCACATCGCTCGGAACGAAGTGCTATCGCATACATACGTGGTAAAAGCTTTTGTAGTGTCAGGAAAAGGCCACGGGTACACAGGAAAGCACAAAACATGGAAAACAATGCAATCACTTTTTACAACTGTCACTTTTTGTGCTTTTGAAAAACTCAGGCTCATAAATGCACAGGCTGTACCAAAACAACCAATAATATAATTTTCAATGTTTGCACAAGAAAAATTGAACTTCTCTCTTAGGGCTGAACGCTGAAATTGGGCACACACATAAGGTAAAACTGTAAGTTCATGAGAAAGATCCAAACTTTCAACAAATTATTTACATCACTTTACATTTTACAAGAATCTGCAAGTTTCTTTTTCATGAAATTTTGCCACACAAAACAAACACCCAATAAAACTGGGACAACTCTAAAAGTGCTTGCACACATCTTTGTACAGCGGGAAAATTCACACTCCCCTTTCTCTTTCTTTGTGTACCATTTTTTCCACTAGGGTAGCCAAGAGTTGTACACAGGATATCATGACAGGTTCAAGCAAGATATTGTCACGTTATGCTGCAACAAAAACCTGTAACTGACAGCACACAAAGACGTCAGGGTGGTCCGACCACCAGCAATATGACTATCATCTTTTCCGCAAGCTTGTCTTTGTTCTCTTTTCAACAGCGGCACAAACAAGCCTGCCAGCATCAATAGCAACGGCACTAGCAGAACCTATACTAGTGGGAATATAATGATTACAGTGATAGCACCATTACCAGCAGTGAAACCTCGATTCTACAACTTTCAGAAGATCATGCAGACCCGTCGTATAATGAAAAAAACTTAGATTATAGGCAGTGACAACCATGTCCGAAATACAGGTGCAAGTCGCATGAGTAAGACCACGACATACCCTTGTGCCTCTGCAAGGAAGGTAGATAGAATCATTCTTGCCAGTGGCCGCTAACGGCAGCATTACTTAGTTGATGGAGGTCAGACCAAATCTCAATTAAAAAATAGAATCCAATGTGCATCTTTTTACTGATAGAATAAGTCGGAAAATTGCGCGCGTGTGAGAATAAAACCGAGACCACATTGGCAACAGCCTCCTGTCAGAAGAGTCAGACACAGTGTCATCGCTATCACATAATGGGGACGGGCCACGAGTTTGCATAGAATGCCCTCGTGTGCGACTGAGCTGTGTGTGATGTAATTTGCTGACTTTTTAAGTGCGACTAAAGATGTCCCCCTGTTATAATGAACGTTGATGTCAAGAGGAAGTAAATTTACAGGGTGAAAACAGCTTCGTCATGCCCTTATGCGCGCACAAGCCTGAGACTGCGACAAATGCAGAAGATCAGCTGTATGTCGACTGGGAAAAATTTTCACGAACAGTAAACGCGAAAATATCAGCTTTTTCGGCCGGCTGAAGCTAGTCTCTGTGGATAGAGCTTGACTAGATAACGACCCCGAATGCGTATGCACGCGATCAAGACATACGTATAAGCGCATCAACTTCCAATAGAATAACTTCAACTTAGGAGAACACAAGTACATATTTTGCACTCTTGAATATTTGGTCGACATTTGATTCGAGTAAAGGTAGTTTTTTTCTTTCGGAAAAAATCTAAAAGTCATCGTAAGACGTGGGGTTGGCATAAAACTGCACCGTACAACCGAGGTTTTTAATACATTGTTTCTATGGGGATATTCTAGGGACCAAACCAACTCGTCATAAAATGCGAGTCGTGGCGAAACCGGGGGACAGTTAAACCTGTTTATAGCCAACCTCCATAACGAATTCCTCAATATAATGAAGTTTTTCTATCCCCCACTATTGCTGCATAGGAGGACATGTATTTGCGACCACTATGTAACAAAGTAACAGGGAGAGACAAACTTGATATAACAAATTTTCCCCACAAACAATCTAGAAATTTTGCCCTGGATGTTGCCGTCTTGTACAAGCATGCATCTTTCGCGAATGCCCCGCCAACAAAGAGGGGAGCAACGGCGCACACGGCACGAGCACGCGTTGCGCAGGGCGCGTTGGCCATGCGCCCTACTACCCGGCGTGGCCGTCGTTTTTGCCGCCGCTAGCGCATGTGCAGATGTGCTTCCTCCCCCCCTCTCCAAACCAAAATCAAGACAAAAAAAGAGAAAACTACTTTTGCATTGGCAATGCCACGCTTTTAGTTAGTGTCACATATGTTGGGCGGCACTGCATATAAAGGGTACTTTACCGAGCAGTTTTAGATCGCTCTTCGATTCTGACGCTGTGCACACATGCATGGTTTCACTGCGCACGCATGATATGGCTCCAGACTATGTTTAGGTTTGCTTTTTTTCCTTCTTTTTTTTTAATGCGGACAACCATGTCGTCACTGCCAAAGGCATGTCAGATTAGGTGCTGATGAAAACTCTCCGAAACTACAAAGACTACGGGCCTTAAGTCGACTCGTCACGCACTTCTGTCTTGCGCCGTGTCACGAATTCGCAAGATTGTAGCCTTCATGATTATGCGATTAGCTTTGGCAACAACACGACGGCACGCTCAATCCAATGCAATGAACGCGATAGCAAAAAATTGTAATGTTATACGAAGTACCATATTTGCACAAATATAATGAGTTTTTTTTTCCGAAAATTTGCGAGCGAAAAAGCCACCTCATGTTATAATCGGGCTCGTGACAAAAAGCGGCACAAATATAGCGCGAAGCTTTTTCGAGCCTTTTTTTTTTCTTTTAAATCTTCATCCTTGTAACGTGCGCCACGCATTCCAGGAACTTCGGGGTTTCGTCGCCCCATATAGCACAATTTATTCCGACTTGCACCTCCAGTGGCCCCGCATGTGAGGGCACCGTGGCGCTGCCGCCAACCTGATGTCTTGGAGCACCGCCGCTCAATGCGCCGTCTAGGCGCGCCACTACGGTATGCTGCGGCGTTCGCATTGTGCGCCAGCGCAGCTAGCGCCATAGCAGCCCCAGTGGCAACACGTAGATAACAATAATTTCGCAAAAACGTCGCCTTTTACGTCTCGCGGTCGGTCAAGGCTGTGTTTTTTCCGCATTGCCAGTCATCATGAACACGGGGAATCTACCACATTAAAAAACAGGTGATCCTGCTGGCCGAACATAGGGGAAATTCAAGTGCAGCATGGCATCTCAGAGTGATGGAGTGTACCATTCAAGGTTGGAGTAAGTTCCGAACCGCATTTTCAAAGCCGCACCGACACGTAACGCGTTCCATGGGTCCAAGACCAGCCGTTTCTCGGAAATCGAAGCGGACGTGGCAGAATTTGTGCGCCAACGTCGTGGCCAGTTTCTGCCAGTGAACCCTGAACTCGTGCAGATTAAAGCGAGGGAGCTTGCACGTGAGGCCAGCATGCCCCGTGACACCTTCAAAGCCAGTCGCTCATCGGTACAGAAGTTCATGCGTCTCGCGAGATTCTCGCTTCGCCAAAGGACTTCGATTTGCCAGAAGCTTCTGGCCAAGTATGAGGAGAAACCCGTTGAGTTTCAGCGGTACAGTGATCAAGACGAGGAGCGAGAAGAACGACCCCTATAGGCCAGATCGATAACGCAGGATGAGACCCCGATCTTTTCGGACATATTAGCTGGCTATGTAATCGATGAGCTCTGCACCAAAGAGGTGCGCATTCGCACAACGGGTAACGGAAAGACCCAGGTGATGGTGATGATGGCGTGCATGGCAGATGGGCGTAAGCTGCCGCCATTTATCATATTAAAGAGAAAGACTTTACCCAAGATTGCAATATTCCCACACCGGATGCACGTCAGGTGCAATGATAAGGGCTGAATAGAAAGCACCATGATGACGTAGTGGATCAGTGTTGGGTAGAAAAGACGTTCGGGCGCACTTGTCAACACTCCAGCTGTGATTGCGCTGAGCGAATTTAGAGGCCATTTGACCGACGAGGTGAAAAAAGCACCCGGCAAGGCCAACACTGACCGGGACTGACATCGCAGCTCCTAGCCACTGGATGTCTGCATTAATAAGCCTTTTAAGGGACCTCACACGCCGGGAGTACGAGAAGTGGCTGGAGGCTAGCAATCGCCGATAGACTCCATCAGGGTCGCATGAAGCGAGCTTCAGTCAGCGAGGTTGCTCAATGGACATACATACTCGTGTAAGGGCTGCACTTTTTTCCTTTTTTTTTTCAAGATCATTGCTTGGTGCGGCCCTTACACAAGTCGCGCTGATGACAGCTCACCAAAGGTCTGTACCGTTTTCACAACAGTAGCAGAGTGAAAGAGTCACGAATGTCTAGCCAGGATTGTTCTTATTAAGATTCCATTTCACTCTCACTGTCCTCATCACCGGAAGCACTGCGCTGCGCAGACGATCAGTGGTGTCACGCACCGGAGCCGGCACCTCCCTCGCACTCGGCCGCGGCCGCGCGAGACTCGCCGCCGCCGGTGTGCGCTTTTAAGAGGAGTGCCGTCATAGCCTTGGTAGACATATGGACGCCGACACGCGCGCCTTCCCTGTGCAGTCGCCATCTGACACTGCGCTGAAGCTGCTTGATAGCGCCTCTGACTGGCGTTTGCCACTGTGGTATAGCCATGAAGAAGAGAGAATAATCAGCTGAACCTTTGCTAACGCTATGTATATCCTGGCATAGCTGAGCTAAGCCACTGCCATTTTTGCTGCTGGACGTACTGAACTTCCTAGATTGCAATGTAAAAATCTGGTGTCGTCAAAGGTGAAAGTGCCTCTGCTGCCGAGTACCTCATTTTGCTTGTCGCGAAAGGCAAAGCAGTCGATGAAATAAATGTTTTTCGCACAGTTCACATGTGATTGTCCGGACGCACATGAAACCCCAGTGCGGCTGCAAAGTGTTTTTACGAAGCTTGTGATCTCTGAAGACCAAACCTCTTGCATTGCAGGCCTTTTCGCTAAGGGCGAACTCGTGCGACCG